TGAAAATTTACCTTTTTTTCCATTAAGATAGAATTTATCGAAGTAGAGGCATTAGGCCAACATAAAAAAAAGAAAAAATGTTTTTTTTTTTTGTCGAGCCTCGGTGGCATACTTGTCACCACCCCGTTATAAAGGGGACGCTCATAGCATCCATCCATCCATCCACGTCAGGCCGCCACGAGAAGCACATGTGTGCATGCTGGACTGCGTGCGTTGTGCGTGCCTTTCGTGTTGTTTTCTTCATTTAAATGATGCCTTGAGAAGCAGTGATGAGCCGACGACAGAGTCACTGTTTTGTACCCGGTTGCAAGAGCGGGTACAAGTCGTGCAAAGAAAAAGTCTCGTTGTTCGGCGTGCCCAAAGAAGCGGACGTATTTCAACAGTGGCGTATTTCTTCGTTTACGGATTTCTGCGACCAATGAGGTCTTCTGTACCCTTCCGTCGAGTTCTTTGCATTTATTGAAGCTTTGGAAGATGTTTTTACGATGTGGTTCAGCTGGAACAATCTTCAGCGAGACAGCATGACTGAAGTTTTGCAGATCATGAAGAATGTTCCCCGCGTTGGGTGTCACACACATCAAGACGAGCTGACAAACAACGTGATCAAGTTTTTTCTTCTGACCAGGCTTCATTTTTTTACTAAGTCCCTCAACAGAGAACGAGCTTCAGCGAGCGAAAGAAGGAAGCACTTGAAACTTAGAAGAACGACTTGAATGTCAGAGACTCTTGCTGGACCTTTAGTGTGCTTGCTCTTGTCCTTTTTTTTTACAGTGTGTAATATGTTTGTTCCAAGGGGCGTAGCCAGAAATGTTATCAGGGGGGGGGGGGGGGCACCCTTTTTATCTGAAGTGTGGGCCGGGCTGGCCAATGTGTTCGAGTGTCATTTTGTGCTCTGTATGCTATGGCGAAAAATTCACTGATTGATATGTGGGGTTTAACGTCCGAAAACCACCATATGATTATGAGAGACGCCGTAGTGAAGGGCTCCGGAAATTTCTACCACCTGGGGTTCTTTAACGTGCACCCAAATCTGAAAAATTCACTGATGATCGATACTGCCTAATGCAAATTTTGAGCGCAGCTTCGTGTTTTGAAAGGCCACTTCTGTTTGAAGTTTGGGCTTTCCGCAATCTATCAACTAAGCCATAAATCATAATTTTTGTGAAGAAAGACGGCACTCACCACGCCATTATTCTTCTTTCAGCGGATGAGCGAGGTATCCGCTACACATCTGTGAAGTGTTCTGTACCCTTTGTTGAAGGTGCATGTGGCCGAGGACGATGAAGAATTATGGCTGAGCACATTGAGTTGGGTGGGAAGCATTATACCACACACTCGTTGCGCAATTAGTATTGTGTGATCACTGCTTGTTATCTAATGCGACTCCTTGCTCTACATCATGCCTGTATAGAGTCTTTTTCGTGAACGCGTTTCAGGCTTTCGTCTTTTCCTTTTTCTCTGTTTAGCTCTCAAGACTGATTTTTTTTCATCCGATTGTTTTATTGTGAATATATTTTTCTTTTGTGTTTGTTATAAGTCAAAACGGCCAATAAAGAAAACAAAACCCAGCGTGGCTCTGTAGTAGTATACTGGACTGCCACGCAGAGGGCCTGGGTTCAAATCTCATTCCAGCCTCGGTATTATTTTCTCCTTTTCATCTATTTTTTTTTTCATGTCCATCGGTTACATCGCCAACGGCGACGCCGCTCAACGCAGGAACGGGCTCCAAAAAATTTCGGATGGTGAGGGGGTTCACGGGCCCGGAGTGCCACACGCTGGCTACGCCCCTGGTTTGTTCTAAATTGAAAAAAAAAAAAAAACAGTTCAGACTGCAATTTCGCAATTCATTCGATGTTTCATTGCCTCTCATTTGTGGAGTAAAATATTTTTGCAGCAGAGGCTTGCGTTTAGCGCACAAAAGAAGAACAACCGAATAAACACTTCAAGCAAAAAAAAATCATGCAAACGAAGGTGCAGCTATAACAAGAGCACATTTTAATCACTCATTCTTGAACGCCGCGTGCTCGGCAAGCACCGTCACCTTCGATTTCGGCACTACAATCCATGGATCTTTGGATGAACCAGAAGCTTGATAGCGTCTGCGATTAAAATTTGGACTGAAATTGTTGCCGTGTCCACAAGTTATAGAAACCACGATTAAAAAATAAAAGCGCGAGATCCAAAAGTGATCTGTTTCAACAAGTCACGGCAAAAAAAAAAAAAAAACATTGCTTCCCGACATTCTTAATTCACACTGGCCCAACAATCATAGCTGGCAAATGGAGATGCAATTACATGTGCACGTAGCAGAATGAAGACAGTGGAATTTAAACGCACGGTGCTAAATAACGGCCGACTAGCTGCGCGACAAGCAGACGACTACACGGTGAGCGGACGTGGATGGATGGATGGATGGATGCTATGAGCGTCCCCTTTATAACGGGGTGGTGACAAGTATGCCACCAGGCTCGACAAAAAAAAAAAAAACCTTTTTTTCTTTTTATGTTGGCCTAATGCCTCTACTTCGATAAATTCTATCTTAATGGAAAAAAAGGTAAATTTTCAGCTTAAGTTCTCTGCCATTTACGGCACACTGTCCATATTTTATTTTTCCAATATTTATTTTTGTCCTTTCTCTCTAATTTTCTGCCACCAATACTCTAACCGTCTCTTACTTATTTCAGTCGCGGGTGTGTTCAGCTTTCCATTGTTGTCCCTAAAACCCAAGGCTTCCTGTAGGCTCGTGCCCAAACGTACACCTGGGTGGATATCTCCACATTCAATCAGAACATGCTCCGCCGTTTCCTTATCTTTCCCGCAGCATGTGCATTGTTCTTCTTCTTTACTGAATCTTGCTTTATAACTACGCGTTCTAAGGCAACCCGATCTCGCTTCAAACAGTAAAGCGCTTCCCCTTGAATTATCGTAAAATGCCTCCCTCCTTATTTCATTTTTGCCCTTTCGGTAGTTACTCAAGCCGGTTTTTTCTCCATAGCTGCCATCCAGTAAATCCTCTCCGCCTCCCTGACTTTTCCCTTAACGCTCTTTGTTGACATATGGCTTACAATACCAGCCGTATATTTACTAGTGAGTCTTCTAGTTCTTTTTCTCCACTGTGTGTCCACGCTCTTCCTATACAAATAACGGAACACCTTCTCTGCCCATCTACTCTCCTTCATATTTCTTAGCCTTTCTTCGAACCTTATTTTGCTCTGCGCTTCCCTCGCCTCAAAACCTGCCCACCCCATATCGCCCTTTACAGCCTCGTTTGTCGTCTTCCCGTGAGCACCCAACGCGAGGCGTCCCACAGTCCTTTGATTGACATCCATTCCCGATTGCACCTCTGCCCTCATGCACACCACTGAGTTCCCAAAAGTAAGCCCTGGAACCATTACACCCTTCCACAGACCTCGAAGCACCTCATACCTATTGTATCCCCACAACGCTCTGTGCTTCATTATTGCCGCATTCCTCTTTCCTTTTGCTGCCGAGGCTTTTTCCTGTACCTCCATGTATCTATCACTCTCATTTACCCATACTCCAAGGTACTTGTATTCACTTACCCTCGGTATTTCTTGGCCTTGTATGGACACCGTCTGATCACAAGGATCATTGAATACCATCAATCCACACTTCGTTACACTGAATCCTAGTCCAAGAGCTTCACCTTCCCTTCCGCATATATTCGCCAGCTGCTGTATATCATCTCGACTGTCCGCAAATAAGACGATATCGTCCGCATAAAATAAACCTGGAAGCTTCTGCTCAATCATCATGCCGCCCTGTTTGTGGGACAGATTAAAACCAATGTTGCTACCTTCTAGCGCTTTTTCCATACTCACCATGTACAGCATGAATAACAGCGGGGACAAAGGACATCCCTGTCTCAGACCCCTGCTAACCTCAACGTTCTCTTTGCTACGCATTCCTTCCCACTCTATGCAAACTGTATTTTCTCGGTATATCTCCCTCAAAAGCTGTATACAGTCGTCGCCCATGCCCATTCCTTTCAATATATCCCACAAAATTTCCTGATTAACGTTGTCGTATGCCCCAGTGATGTCTAGAAAAGCCACGTACAAGGGCCTATTCTCTATTTTGGATATTTCTATACACTGAGTGAGAACAAACAGGTTATCGTCTAACCGCCTGTCGACTCGAAATCCGTTCTGAAGTTCTCCCAAAATATCGTTATGTTCGGCCCATGTTTCTATTTTCATTTTTACTGCTTGCATCGCCATCCTGTATAGTACCGATGTAATGGTTAGTGGTCTATACGAGCGAATCTTGTCCTTTTCTCCCTTGCCTTTATAGATTAAGTTCATTCTACTTTGTCGCCAACTGTCCGGTATTTGTCCGTCCTTTAAGCTTTTTTCTACTGCTTTTAACAATGCTTCTTTAGTGTTATGTCCTAGTTCGTTAATGAGGCTAACGGGAATCCCATCTAAACCCGCGGCAGTGCGCTTTGGAATTTTTCCTTCGGCCTTTTTCCAGTTGAAATTATCAAGTACTAGCTCTTCCTCTGTTGCTTTCTCCGCCACACTTTTACTCACCGGGGAGATCCCCTGGACGCTCTTTTGAAACGAATCGGCTGTTACCTTTTGGATGTAACCTAGCGCTTCGTACCCTTCCAATTGATTTCCTCCTTCATCTAGAATATGTTGTTGCGTTGTGACAGACTTCCTACCTAGCGCCTTTATGTGGCTCCAAAAAATCCTAGGCGCGGCCTCCTTTTTTTCGTGTATCTCTGTCATCCAGCGTTCACTTTCACCTTTAATTTTTGCCTCTACCAATTTCTGTACAAGGGATTTTTTCTCTAAATATATTTCCCATATTTTTTTGACTTCGTCCTGCGGCCGCTTCTCCTTTTTTGCCTTTCTATGCTCCCGTGAGGCTTCGCGTCGCTTCTCGACGTGTAAGCGGGTGTCAGCGCCCCCTAGAGTTCTCTTTTCGATGCATCGCGGAGCGGCGCGGTCTGCACACTTTCCCTAGTTATAGTGTTCTAGAACACATTAGCATGGTGTGGGCCATGCATGGTTTGGGCATTTGCCGCTGTCCGCTGTGAATGCCCTGAACACTTGATATGGATGCGTTATTAGCCAGACTAGTCTTCGGTGTTTCCAGATTAAAGTGTTTTTGTGGCAAAACACGCCTACAGCGGTCGCTTCGAACCGCGGCTCGGAGGTGAGAAGGCGATGAATGCTCTGCTGTTTCTCTGCCCATTACTACTGTCGAGCAGTACTCCTTCAACCGCTGTGCTGTCAAACCGGTTATGACAGATACCGGGTATTTTGGTTTTGCAGAATCCACTTTTAACCAATTCCAGCACCCAGCAGTGAAGTCATGCCCCGCCGTGGTGGTCTAGTGGCTAAGGTACTCGGCTGCTGACCCGCAGGTCGCGGGATCGAATCTCGGCAGCGGCGGCTGCATTTCCGATAGAGGCGGAAATGTTGTAGGCCCGTGTGTTCAGATTTGGGTGCACTTAAAAGAACCCCAGGTGGTCGAAATTTCCGGAGCCCTCCACTACGGCGTCTCTCATACCACTGCCGCATCAGACCACCGCGGCGGGGCCACTGCACAATTTAGGTGATGTCGAATGGTTTATACAGATTTTGTTTCTGAATGTAAGCCTTGTTTTTATGCTGCTCCGAATATGGTATCTTGTGAAAAAAATTGCATATTTTTTTATTCCTGTAACTTGCTGAAAATTTACACTTTAATGCTCCAAAAGTAATATTTTGCTGCCTCAAAAATTTCTCCGAGGTGTATTTTGGCTGCTGCACACCTGGTTTCAAGAATTTCAAGAATTCTTCAATTCAATCAAGAATTCGAGACCAGACTGCAGGATATATACATTATGGCGCACCGAGAATTTTATCACAGTATTGGCATGATCTACAAATTTTGCATGTTTTTGCTTTAAAAAACTGCTTTAGCTTGACTATAGTATGGTGCTGCTAAATGATACAAAAGAATGTAGAATGTTACTCAAGACAGTTGGTGGCAGTAGGAAAAGAAAACACTATATTCATTCAACAGTGCTTCATCGTTCCAGCATAACTGAATGATTCAATCTAGAGGGGGAGGGGGTGCTCAAACTTCCCCAGGTATTTCAGTGTGTGGATGATTTTGAGCTTTTGGACAACTTGACAAAATTCATGAGGGTCACTGAATGCCTGCACCTTCTATTTGTAATGGCAAAGACAGTTTATGGTGTCATGGGTATGTTGGTCATATTCTCTGCATGGCAATAAGGCCGTGTTGGTGTTTAATTTGGCCCATGCAAAGCTGGTGAGAAAAGCATTGCTGCTGAGATATGTTGTTGGACTGTGTTGTCTGAACTCGCTCCAGTTTGTCCAATTTCAGAAGGCATACAAATACTAAAAATCAGTAAGTTACTAATGAAATGTTTTGAAATGTTGCGCATCAGAGAAAAAAAAAAAAACTCTAAGCCTGGCAAAGAGTCTTCTGCCGCGATGTGTTGAAAATAGCCTTGATGGAACTTGACAGAATTATTAGGCTACATTTTTTAGATACTATCACTTGTTTATTTTACAAAGTAGAAGACTTTTTTTACCAGCTTTATTTTTATGCTGTTGTCAGTGAATATTCATTTTTTTTTTTAGTTTTTCCTGTGTGTACCTTATTGCATGCTACTGTAGCAATGATAAGTTGCAGAAGAAGGCATGTTAAAATCAGGTTCTCACTGTCTCTTGCAAGGCAGAGCTGTGCCAATGTAAGTATGAAATTATAGCGTGCTAGTCCTACCAGCACGAAATATCGCACCACGTAGTTTCTAAAATATTTAAAGGATTTTCTTTCAACAGCGTAGTTGTTAAGGTTTTCAGCAGGCTGTGTAGTGTATTCAGTAATAATACTAATAATATGTGGGGCTTAACGTCTCAAAACCACCGTATAATTATCAGAAATGCCGTAGTGGAGGGCTCTGGAAATTTTGGCCACCTGGGGTTCTTCAACGTGCACCCAAATCTGAGCACACGGGCCGGAAATGCAGCCGCTGCAGCGGACATTTGGTCCCCCGACGTACGGGTCAGCAGCTGAGTACCTAAGCCACTAGACCACCACGGCGGGGGGATGTGGTTTATTCAGAAAACTCTCATCACGATTTGCCTTCTTGATCTTCTGCTCAGACACAAAAGATATGTGCAAGCTTTTCGGGGTGAGAGGCGAGTGCAGAAAGAGGGAAGTTCTTGACAAAAGAAACTGGTCACATGAATTTCCAGCAAATCACTTGCTGATGTGTGGTGGTCTTGATACGTTTCATTATTACGTTGAAGTAATGTCAGTGATAATCGCTTTGCAGTCGCTGTAGTAGACCGTGATTTGTTTCCCAACCCTTTCAGGCAAATGAATTTGTTCCTTTTGTCAAGCATTGTATTCTTGCCATTCTTCTGTTGCTTTTAATTTCTATGGTCCTCGAATGAACTGAACAAGTTGCTGGATGGGTCTCCCTTCTAATAGGAAAGCGGAAAAGGCATGCGGCCAAAAGAAAGGGCTGTTTGACATCATTGAAGCCCTTGTGTGAAGTCCAAAGCTGCTGCAACTTATTTTTTACTGGCAATGCGTGAGAAGGTCTTCCCGTTGTTCATATGCACCTTGTCCAGCATATGGTTGGGACACTTGTTTTATGCTTTTCTTTATTGCAACAGAAAGAGAGAGAGAGAGAGAGAAACAACTTTATTTAAAGGAAAAAAAAATTCACAGAGGATTGGCAATAGGCCGTACTTGGCCTCCACCATTGCAATAAATAGTGAGTTCTATATTGTATGCCTGATTCCAAAGAAGGAGACCTACGCCGTTTGCCTGCAATTTGAGAATCGGCCTGTAAAACATGCACGGTTTGAAATTTAGTTGTGGTTTGGCAGTTGTGCATATCTACAGCGCATGCGCATTCGTCAACTCATCTGTACTATCCCCTCCCCCCCAAGCACTTCTTCTCAACGTCTGAGGTGAAAATGCAAGGGATGCACGCACCTGCTAGCCGAGATTCACACGTGCGCGAATGACTGTCAATGGTTTAGGAGCTTGGTGTTTTGTTTTTAGCCTACGGAGACGAAACTGCTCCGGAGTAAAGTATACAGTTTCAGCGCAAAAAATTCTTCACAGAGTGGGGTCTAAACCCTCCATATAAAGGCTGTGAGAAAGAAAGACGCTTAGCATAGAAAGGAAGAGAGAAATAGAAATAAAGACAGACAGGCACTTCTTTCCTCTTGGTGCAGCCAATATAAACGAATGAGCTCATAATCTAATCAAAGTCTGTGCAGAAATGTTTGTCCTAAAACGGTGTACACGAGTCCTTTGTACTTGCAGAGTGGTTCCTCTGTTTGACAAGGACAATGGCTTGAATGAGGCACCGCCCGCTGAGCTGAAGCAGCTGAAAATTAAAAAAAACGACGGTGCTTGTCTGGAAAGTCTGGGCAAGAAATTCCACGTTGAGGAGGAAACCAAGTTTGACAAGTAAGTTTGTTCAAAGGAAATTTGGAATATTTGTTTTACACAAAGGGCAATATAAATGGTGTGTTGTTTTGAAATGAACTCCATCATACATTTGATATCAAATTGGTCATTGGTGAACTCGTATGCTGCATGTAATGGCCTGCTATGCAATCTGAATGATTGGGGATGCTCAGGGTATTCATCTTTAGCTCTTATGAACCCCTCTAGGGGGTGTAACATAAAGGGCATGTTGATTGCACAACGAGTAGATACTGAAGAAATAATGTCAGTGATGGCTGCGGGGTTGGTTGTTCTGTTTGGACGATGCACACAGAAAGAGAGCTGGATAATGCCGTAGTGTGGCTGCTTGGCTTTAAGCCGTGCGATGTTGTCTGGAAAAGTAATGAGATCTCAGTGGTTCTGTTCCTGCACCAAAGGGTCTTTAATGTACAATTATGGTAAAATTGACATAAATTGCTTCAGAGTCTCAGGCTTGATGGCACCCATCACCAGCAGTACAGCTATGACTGGGTAAAAATGTCATATTGCCGGGAGAGTGAAGAAAGCAGCTGCAGCCAGTAAACATCAAACTCTTAATTGGGTGAATGTCTGCCCAGAAAGCGACTGACGCTCAAAGTGCAATGATGCCAGTGCATTCAGTTGTCAAAAGTCAAATAATCTGATCAGCGGAAAGGCTCGTCGGCTTTTAGACATGCGAAATAAAAGAATGAAAGCTTATCTGTGTGGCTATGATGTGCTCTTTAATCTCTTTTCTTCCATCATGAGAGTGTCATGGTTATTTGGGTATGTGGCTTTGGTGAACTCCCCGTGCCAAATGCAATGGCAAGCAGCCAGGTGACAATTTCCAGGAAATCGAGACAATAAGCTTTCTTTAGTTTTAGTATTCATCTCAACTTTAACCTACTTAATGTTTAATGATAGTATTCCATTTTTTTTGTTGTAAAAGTAGAGAAACAAAACTAGTGAAAGTAAATAAAAACACTGTTAAGAAGTTTATTAGCAGGCACTCGGCAAGATGCACGACAGTAACAGTCAAGGGGGAGACCGACTCTCTGCACGAGCTGCTCTTTTTCCTATGAATAGGGTGACCCACTAGAAAAAGCTGGAGAGGACCATCCTCTGTATAGTTCCAAGACTTCGCTACAATTACCCCGGGTACGAAAAGGTAGTCACCTGGCGACCTAACAGATGGTTACTATGAGAGGGTCATGGTAGGCCTGGCACATCGACAATGTCGCACCCTTGACAGCGCATGTCCGAAGATGGTTCGATGGGTTTGATCAGTAGTTCCCTCGGGAAGTGCATTCAACGACACGGTACGGGCCTTCACATTTGTGCAACTGTTTTGAAGAAAGGCCAGTTGCAGCGGTAGGGATCGAAAGCCAGACAAGTACTCCAGGCAAGAATGTGGGCACAGAAGTGCTGGTGTCAGTGTGAATGCTTTTCTGCTGCTCTTGCTCATGTGTTTTAAAGGACTTTGCAAGCTATCGACACTCTTCAGCAAGCTGCTATGTCAGAAATAGGCTCACACTAGGATGGATCCGGCTTGTATAGAAGCATCGTGTCGATGGTATGCGAAGGGTACCTTTCATATAACAAAAAGAAAAGAGAAAAACCAGCAGGGCTCCGAGAGGCTGTATTATAGGCATAGGTGACGAACGGTAGAATGGCATCCCAATTCGTGTGATCGGCAGCGACATACAGAGGGGTCCCCTGTTAAAGGGAACACCGGAGCGCGTGTCGTCTGCAAAGCGCCACCGCGGGCTCACGGCGGCAACTAGTTTCACGCAGGAGCAGTGAGCGCTGTGGGAAGTGCTCGTTCGTCATCTGCTACAGTTACGGCCGCGCTTCAGCTCGTCGCGAAGCCAGCCATTCTTGTGCTTTGAAATTTAACCGCAGGCTGAATGGCCACGTTCAGACGGAAAGCTGTGGCGAAGCTCAAAAGAAATTAGATTATGTAAAGTAATACTTCACTGATACTTTTAGTGGTTAAAGAAGCATGACTTCTTCTTTCTGGGTAACCTGGTGTGCGCAAATGCTGACGAAAGACAACAGAAAAGAATAGACGGGGACAAGTGAAAAATAAATTGCTGGACATGTTGCTGCCATGATGTTGTCTTCGAAACGAATACTCTGAAAGGATGTTCAAATATGTAGGAATATTTCTTCAGGACAATTTGAAAAAATTGACTTTTCAAGATTTGTTTCTCATAAGAAGCTCCTCTGACTTGGTCCAGAAACTGGGGGAAAGTTTTTGCTGCAATGTGGTGGGATTTTCAGCAGACGTTGTGAACCTCTGTTACTCTGTTCCTTGTGATAGCCTTATTTTTGCTGTGAAGAAGTGTTTTAAAAAACAGGAGATGCACTTTCAGGATATTATAGGCATGAACTCTGACAATTTTATTACACTTTTGGAATTTTATCTCAGTTTGACTACCATCAAGTACGATGGGCAATTCTTAATCCAACGCACTGGCATATATATATAGGTTCATCATTGGCCCCACTTCTTTATGACATCTTATCTGTGATTGACAAAAGCATTTCTTCCAGCCTTGCATGTGTACCAGTACTCAGGGTGTATTGCTATGTTGATTGCTGTACCTTGTGCTTGTAGAAAAAACTGGACATATTTGTTTTAATGACAACCTTGAAGCTGTGCTCAACGTCTTCAAAGAGCACTCTTGGGGGCTCAAATTAACATTTGAATTGCCAAAAGACAATGATATCTAGGTTTTAGACATTCAGCTTTCTTTTTCTGATAATGCCCATACTTGCTGGTGCTATCAGCCCAGGAGTGCTAAGTATGTCCCGCCTTTGATAGTGTGCATTCAAAATTAGTAAATAGAGGAATCGTCACCATGTGTTTGGCCACCCTTCAGAAGTCATGTGAGCACAAGGGTGAGGTCAGCCTTAAAAATCAGATTAAAAAACTAAAAGATGCTGGGTATCCCAACAGCATCATCATACCCATTTGGGAAACCCTCCTGTAGAAAGTTAAGATAAACAAAACAGGACCAAGAGAAAAACAGAATGACCAAAGACCTTTGCATGTTATACCGTACGTACATAAGCTTTCGCACAACTTAAAGAAAAAAGCGAGCACATATAAAAATTAACTTGTTGTTTTCCGCACCTTGCAAGCTTTCAAAAGTGTATGTACAGCAACAGGAATAGTCAGTCTTGCACCATCCGTCACGAGAATAGGTATACTGAATGCCAATCTAATGTCGTGTATCAGATACCGTTGACATGTTAAAAAGTAAACATAGGACAAACGGGGCAATGCTTTAATGATCGAGCAAAACAGCATGCGTCAAATGTTAAGAATGGCTATGGTAGTCTCATGGCTGTACACTGTAAAGAATATAAGTGCAGTCCCATGTTTCATAAAACACTTAAAAAAAAAAGCAAGAACAAAAATGAGAGGTTTTAGAAGCATTTTTTATCAGGAAGGCCAAGGATCAATGCATCAGTACACCTTCACTTACCCTTTCCGAAAGAGAGTATTCTTTTCTCAGTTAAGATTATATTATCATGGTCACACATGTATCATCGCGCATGAATACTGTGTTTTTTGTACTCTGTATAAAAGCGGTCGTAGCTCCTTCAATAAAATACGGTTGACAGTCAGTGCTCTTCTCTGTCCTTTTTGTCTCTTCCTGAAATTGTCGCGCTGTTACTAGAACACAACCAAACACTGGAGCATTACGAAAGCGTCGTCGCAGTGTGACGACCACGAATGGAGAGGCCCGTTACTGCCCAGGAACTTCGTCAGCGGTGACATCGTGGTCGTGAAATTTTGAATGAAGCACAGAAAGCAGGAACACAGTCCTACAAAACTGCGCAATTCCTCCACAAATGTCGGCTCTGGGAACTCAGTCACGGCCCGAAGGTTGACTGGATCTGGAAGAATTCTGTGCTCGCCATCATCTATTCAATCACATCATCTATTCGCGGTAGTGGATAAACGTCCTTATAAGTGATCTTGTTGAGTCTTTGGTAGTCCGCACAGAACCATCCTTCTTTGCAACGAGAACGACAGGAGACGCCCAGACGCTGTTAAAAAGTTGAATAACATTGCGTCGAAGCATGTCGTCAACTTGCTCGTTGAATACACGACGTTCTTTGGGAGATACGTGATATGGGCACTGCATCAGTGGTGGTTGGGTGCCTGTGTCGACGTGATGCCTAACGGCGGATTCGCGGCCGAGGAGAGGTTGAGTGACATCAAAAGGAAAAATGGAAATTCTTGTGTTGGAAATTCTTCCAACAGGCCCAGAAGCTGTGAATGCTGAACTGGTCTAAGGTATTCGGTAATGGAGGAGCCAAATACATCAGGGGATGATAGAGCAGCTGTAGAAAAATTACAGCATATCCATGGAGTGAATGATAATGAGTGGGGCGAAGCGTCTGTCAGATCGTCCGCGCTTTCCGTCTGTCCGTGCATCCATCCTTCTGTCCGTCCATCTACGCATCCGTCTGTCCGTGCATCCGTCCATCTGTCCGTTTGCTTGTCTGTCTGTCTATCCATGCATCCGTCCGTTTGACCATCTAGTGAACACTCTAAGTACCGCTATCTCGCATTTTTTCATCAGGATCGTAGTGGTGTGATCGTCTCTCTTCTTCCCCTGTGGCACATACCCGTCTATCCCCTGTCGTGTATGTGCCACCGGTGACATGTCGTGTATGTGCCACCCTGGGGGATGCACAAGGACAAAGGCCGCTATTACATAAATAACTTTTTTTCTCAATTATTAGGTAGTCAGAAAGGAGGACGGGGGTCTTTATTTCAGATTTTATGGTATAGAACATGCATATGCAGTAAGAACCGCTTGGAGAACAGCGGGTACGGCAGTTGAATGCCACAAGCTCAGCGCTTTTGGTTGGTTTGATCGTGAACATAGGTCGAAATTCTTTGGTCATGAGTATATAGGTCAATAGCTGGTTATGAACAACATTTTCGGGAAAAAAAGGTTGACCTATATTTGAGTAAATTT